GTTGTCCGCTTTCCCAAGCAATGCGAACAGACAGGCACGTTAGCGTATGTACGCATAAACCCCCTCCGTCAATTCAAATACGTAACATGCTGGCATATCTCAGAAGCACAATCCGATGCTAATCATATCGAAATGTTTCGGGAAAAAAAACGTTGCTGACGGACGGAGCACTCTCCACATGTTGGGAACGGCCGTCCCATAACTGTCGTTCTCATGCTCTCTGCAGCCCGTTCCGAAGCTGGTGTGCCGCGGGACAACAACCAAACGGTCCCAGTCCAGATACAGAAACGCTTCCGCAAGCCCCTCAGCAAACGGTACGAACCCATAATACTTTAATTTGACAGCGCACCACGAGAGGCGTCCCAGCATCTCCCGGACCGGACGGTTAAGGCCTACGAGTCCACCAGTGCGCCGGAGGGGTACTCTACGGCGGCATGCCAACTGACTGCGACGGCAAGGCGCAGCGGCAGGGTACAGAGCGACATTCGGACAACACAGCGACACAGCACACGGGCGCGACTGTGCGGTTCTTCCGCACGAGCCAACGAGGCGGCTAAGCGCGTTCGGCCGGGCGGCGTACCTGTCTCCAGGCCCCAGATGGTGCACGTCGTGTCGATGGATGAGGTGCCAATCAGGTTCAGGTCCACCTCGTTCCAGTCAAATGACGTCAGAGGCGCGCAAAAGTCCGAGTTCTTGTTCTGAAATATTAAAAAACTGGCTAGCACGCGAAACTCCACGTCTTTGTCCCCAAACAAGACGCAGCTCACAGACACGCAAAGTTAGTGTTCTTGTTCCGAACAAACAACCACGAAAACAGCACGCTCAGTGTAAATGTCACTCAGAAACTCGTCTGTGCAAAAATCCCCAGGCCTTCTCCTTAAACCAGGCGCAGAAGTAGTTCTAGGAGTTAACGCTGCGGCTCAAAGTGTGGTAGTCTATATTACATCGACGTGCAAGCTTTTGACAGCCAAAACTTTAATGTTGCATTCGTTAAATTTCCCTGTATTTACTTTCACGGTGAGGAATGCAAAGGATGCAAACAACAGCCACCACTGCATACTTGCTGACATAAAACGCCTTCCACACACTTCCACACACTTACTTGATTCGACAATTTGGCTCTTGGTCTTACATATGCACAGCACTTCGACCTCTACTTTATTTTTCTTAGGCACTAACTCGATTTTAAACACCCTCTGAAACCATAACTTATCCTTAACGCCAGCTTCCGCAGAAATTTCCATTCACACGCCAACTGAAACTGTCAAAAACTATTCTCATCTCACCCCAGATAAGGCAACCTCTTATTCCCGCTCAATGCATTTCTTCACCTCCCTAAGGCAGCTTTTTTCCCAATCCTCGCTTGATGTCTCGGGGGCGTCCTCGTGACGCAGCAGCGTGCTCCGAACCCACAAGGTGCAGACGGCGCAGAAAGTGGACCTTCAAGACGGCTACGCCCCGTTGCACAAACAAGATGAGTATTTTTTCGTTGAACACGGCGCGAACTGCAAAACATAAGCTAGCGTTGCCCACAAGCTGACTGTGGATACTGACATTGAGGCATAAACACCTCTATTGTATTTGGCGCGGGATCAGCGGCGCCTCCGACCGAATCAGCTCTACGGCCGGCGGTCCTCGCCGCAGCACGCAGCCCACTCACGTTGTTGAGGACGCACTCTAGCCGGGTGTCGGGCTCGCCGGCCCGCCAGATACGCAGGTAGTCGCCCGAGGTGGCCAGCAGGTCCGGATACACGCCCTTCTGCAAGACGGACCGACATCGGGGACGGTACAGCGCGGCGGCAACCGGAGACGGTACAGCGGGGTGGCACAGGGGACGGTACAGCGGTGGCACAGGGGACGTACAGCGGGCGTACAGGATACGTACAGCGGGGTGGCACATAAGACGATACAGCGGGGCGGCATCGGAGTCGGTACAGCGGGCGGCACCGGAGCCGGTACAGCGGGGCGGCATCGGAGACGGTACAGCGGGGCGGCATCGGAGTCGGTACAGTGGGGCGGCACCGGAGACGGTACATAGGGCGGCACAGGAGACGGCACAACAGGGCGGCGCGGGAGACGGCACAACAGGCGGCACAGAGACGGCACAACAGGGCGGCACAGGAGACGGCACAACAGGGCGGCACAGGAGACGGCACAACAGGGCGGCACAGGAGACGGTACAGCGGGGTGGCACCGGAGAAGGTACAGCGCGGCGGTACCGGAAGCGGTACAGTGGGGCGGCACCGGAGACGGTACAACGGGACGGTACAGGAGACGGTACAGCGCGGCGAGATCGGAGATGGTACAGCGGGGTGGCACCGGGGACAGTATGGGGGCGGCACAGGACGCGGTACAGCGCGGCGAGATCGGAGACGGTACAGCGGTGCGGCTTGAGCATAGCCACACGATGCGTCATAGGCAAATGACATGGCACGGCGCCGCGGCAAACCAGGCAACGGAACTGACCTCGGGAAGGGGCTGATGATAATCAGCATCATACAAATCAATGCTGATGTCCCACGGCCTACAACTGCTGCTATCACTGCATATATATTCAGTCTCAGCACCACTCACCGCTACAACCCACGGGTCGGTCCATCACGGGACACCCACGCGTACGCTCAGAGCACGCGTGACGTGTCCACGAACGACACCAACGTGACGCCCGCAGCGCGCTACTCACGCCGTCTGGGATCCACATGATCTTGGTGGTGGGGTAGGGGTGCTCGAAGGTGGAGCGGGCGGAGAACTCGCCGGCGTCCTCGTCCAGCTGCACCACCATCACCTTATTGTTGTACTCCTCGATGAAGCTGCCCACGGCCAGCCTGCGGCATGGAACCGTCCGAGGTGAGGGCGTGAGGAGCTGGATGGGGCGGTCACGTACACACATCCACCGAGCACTGGGGTCGCAGCTGACCGACCTCCTTGGGAGTCGATGCCATTCGATCGGCACGCGGCAACAGCACACCAGGGAAAACACAACGACCTTGGAATCACAAACATCCCCGTACGGTGTCCTCTCGACCCGCATCCACAACTGACCTGAAGCGTTTGTCGGGCCGGACGGACCAGTTCATGCTGTACAGCGTCCATGGCGCCTCGTACTTGTAGATCTCCTTCCGTTTGGGCTGGTGCGAGCCGTGGGCCGCCATTGTGGGCAGGCCCGCGGAGGCGCCCCGAAAGCTGACGGACACGACGGCCCTCAACACCTCCATCACCGATCATCCGGCGTTAAGGCGACGTATATGACACCTCAGCTGGACGCTGGAAGTACCGGCAATGCCAGCAACAAGCACAAGCGAGCACTACCTCTTGGGGTGCGGACAAGTTGCGAGCCATCCAAAACTGTTTTCTCAGTCTGCTTTATCTGGGAAATTGCATTCAAATATTTTTACAACTAATACAATGCTTATAGAGGACATCACTTGACAATAAGACAAAACTATATCCAGCTGGAAAATTAAAATATGATGCTCCATCATACTCATCACATAATCCGTCACATCTGGCAGCCCAACATCAACTGCTCTGCAATGAATGCAAAGTGACTATTAAAATTAATGTTTTAAAAGCACCTTGTCATGTTTGCAGTTTAGAGATGGCCAGAATCCAGTCTGCAAAAAGTGGCACAAGGGTTGGCAAGGCACATCAGGCAGACCAAGATTGCTCACCAGGCGGACCAAGCGTGTGCCGAGCAGGCTCAGTTTAACGCACGAACGCGGACGACAAGTGCGCTGAAAGATACCGAAAAACCCACGACTAGTGGAAATGCACAGCACCATTCAAACAAGCTAAACATAGCTCCCAAAACATGCAGGGAGTCACTTATTGATGAGGGGATTACCATCAATGTTTCATGGCATGGAGGATAGCACTGTCAGAGCAATAAACTCAGTGTATGTCTTGCGACAGTTTGTCTTCTTCAAAGGGTCTAAACAAAAATTAAAAAACAATGTTTTTCAAGGGCTCAAAAAGGTTCAAAGGGCTTGGAAAAACAAAATATGCACACACAAGTGCAGGAAGAATAAAAATTACCTGTAAGATTGGTGTTCACAAATGACAAAATATCACAATTTTGTACATCCTTCCATTCTGTCAGCTTATATGTGTACTGCATGATCAACATCTCAGGCTTCAGCTGCTCTTGGAAGGATGCTATTGCACCATCTTTTTATAACCCCAAATATTTTTCAAAGCATTTATGAACTTGGTATGTCTTTGTACTATCTCTCTATGTTTGATGAGCTTCTGAAAGTGTCTTCTGAAACAAGTGTTCTCAGGAATCAACATGGTTATTCCCAATGTGCACTATGCAGACTTGTGCCCAATCCTGTTTCAGTACAACTGATTTGGATGCCAACTAATGTCCAGTGGGTGATGTGGTTAGGCTGCTGCCAACAAAATATGACAGGAATGAAGATCACCCAGACTTGAAAAAAATGGGTCAATGTTGGAAACCAACTAGACCCCACCTGAGTTGAGACAGCAACATAAGCATGACACCATGTTTTACCCATGAAGACCAATAGTAAGTGCACAGTTAATTAACATAACAAATTATCTGCAAGGTTATGGAAGTCATGTCCTTTATAGGTTCCAGATCCCTGTCTTTTAATAACTTTGGTAAATATAGAATGCTTAAAACACAACTACAATTTCCTTATCATTTGCATACTCCAATAATTATTGTCTGACCATCACGTCAGGACTTGAAAGCTTTAAGCCAGTGTATTGCTGCTACTGCAAAAAATCAGAATATAAAGTTTGAGCATAATTGGGCATGAAACTGGTTCAGCATAATGCATATGACAATTACAGAGCAGGTCATAAATGCAGCTGCAGCAAATAAAGTCTGGCACTGCTGGTGTGGGTACTGTCATGGTGCACAATAAAGCAGAGGATAGGTAATGTCAGAAAGACTGTGCATCATAGCAAAATACAGCCTATAGTGAGTGTGGCATGATTGTGGATCACATACCATTAGAGGTTGGACTTGGCTCAACAAATCACCACAAAATTATTTCAACCATAAAATATCGCCATGCAACATGTGAGTGTTCTTAGTTAAAGAAGAGACAGGCTGCAATCTCTTATTTCATGGTGTTTACACTACATAGGTAGCCACCCAGTTTATCCCTGTTTATAAAACAACTTGTGATCTGTCCTTATGTATGTATATATAGATAATGGCCTATGTCAATATCATGTGGTAAAATGCTGTCCTATGGTGACTAGTTGGAGGGCAGAGATACTGGATGTACTGAACAGTAACATGTTTTAAATCAATGCATCCAAGATATTAAGCACATTTTTTGCTTCAAATAGAAGATGGGTCATACATACCTAACAGTGCTAGTTCCTTATCACATTTTGCAGCATTTACTAATTCCAGTATGATAAAAATAGTGTCCGTTATTTCAAAGTTCTATTACATGCAGACCCCATTGTGTACATACAGAAAACTCAAAATGCTGCTGTTGTATGAATTCAGATTGAATTTGCACAGGCCTAATTGTATCTTATGCCAATTGTCAGAATTTGCATTCCATCTTTGTGTATCTGCACCATTGCTCTAGGGGCTAGAATGCCTCCTTGGGATATGACTTAGCATAGCACTATCCAATCTATTGGCCTAAGAACATATCACAAGTTGAACTTAGTACCTACAACCTCACACACCAGCATAACACTTAGCAAAGATGTGCTAAATTTGGCTGGACAGAATCTGTTACTAAATAGATGGTCACTTATCAGCTGAATTTGTTTCATTGCGGCAGAATTCCTGCCAACCATTACAGCTTCCCCAGAATCACACAATAGAAAGGACATGATACTGTAACCAAATAACAGGTATTGCAGCACTGGCGAAATGAAGCATGTGTTTACACTAGGAATACCAACAATGTTTACACTGAGCGATCTACCCAATAAGCGTAACAGTGTGGAAAAAGGAATATGATACATGGCAGCCTGTTCAGAATCGGCTTACACTCCACACCGCAACTTTGGTAATACCACACATACCTCTTTTAAAACAAACGCTGCCTTTTGACCCTTCCTATGTCGTTTGCATCTGACACCACATCGCTATTACCTAACCAAAAATAAAACCGCGGACCAACTTCCACCATAACCACACCGAGGGGCAAATGCAGCGCTCCTCCATGTTTGTCGTGTTACAAAGCCTTAATGATTTTGTGCAATTCAAGAATAAAACTGGTGTATTTATAGATACAGATAATTTCTTGAAATTAAGTTTTGATAAGCACGTTTTCAGGTCTGCGTTTAAAATGCTATTTATCATATTTTAAAACAGTATTGTGAGCAAAATATCAAGCTATAGTACTATCAACCACCCATAGATGACACCCGCAGCGGCGTTGCTATGACAACAATCGTTGAACAAAATTCTATTGCCCCGGTGGTGCGCCGCTGGAGGAGCACGCGTCCGCACAGGTTGTCGGCTGTTGGGGGCGTTACCCACGCGGCCCTGGCTGCGTGCTCCACTCCGGCGCCCATCGCTGAGGCGGGCTTGTCAGCGATATCCGGTGTCTTACATTCATCAGGTCAGTCTTCGTCGATTTCTGACCGGGCTTCGTGGTTTTCAAATCAGCTGATAGATCTATCAATCACTTTTAGATGAGCCGGTTGACGGTAGGGTAATTGTGGCCGGTTATGGCATCGCGTCTCCGTAAATGTGTTAAATGCGGTGGAAGATATTATTGGCGTGTGCGCTTTTGCCGCCTCCCGATATCTGCCGTGTCATTGTCCGCTTGCTGTCGCATATTTGTGTCCGGTAGAGATCCTGTCTCCGTGCCTAAGTATGTATTAGATATTCAATCCAACACATGCCTTCCTCTTAAATTGTTAAGGGATGCGCTGAATTGGATCTTGGGCACATGCGGCTAGCGTTGCGAGCGAATGGGCCCGTCGATAAAGATTGCATTAAATGAAAGTGAGCTGTTAACCCTTTCGTGATCCTTTAACGCGTCGAACGCCCCGAGGGCTTTCGGAACGGAAGCCCGATTTAATGGCGAAGGGGTTCCATGCTTGATGAATGCTGCCCCTTGTTTACAATAAGTACTTCAGACTCATGTGAGCGTCGGGTCTCGTAAAGTTTTACAAAGCACGGGCCATGGGCGCAGCCGACGCAGGAAGTGAGGACACTCTCCCCCCCCCCCCCCCCCCGTAGCTTTATATATTCATCTAATATGCATATATAGTTCTTAACTATGCTAAGTCGGCGTGGTGTGCCCCCACTGAAATCCCCCTCCTCAAAATACTTTGGTCTGCGCCTCTGCCAGCGGCCACATTTACCTTGCGCGCCATTTCCGTGTTGTGAAAGACCGCAGCCGACAGCGCATTACTGAATCAGTTGAGCCGCCAGTAATTTAGAGCTAGTTGCTTGTGTGTTCCATCTCGCGTCCTGAGCAATACCATCGCAATTCGCGAAAGTTGGCTCCCAGTTCTTGCCAGCCCCAGCGAGTATGCAGTTGTAAAGTGTTGTACTGAAGACGTTCTCCGAACTCGTTATCTAATCGCTTGTTTTCGGTTAGAATTATTCTAAATGCACGGGTCCAGCCATAAATGGGGTCGGGCGGTGCATGCAACTTAAGCAAAGCAATTCCGTAACTTTGCGGAATTGCTTAAGACATTGCAGGCAAAGGTCACACTTAACCTCGATGTACCCTCCCCCAACTTTGGACTAGTGTCGAAGACACTGTCAGATGCCCTCATAAAATATTTCTTAACAGTCTTGCCATAGCGCAATTAAGAGCATTGTAACGTCTTATCGTCAAACGCGAGTAGGAACGATGCCGTATGAGGGCGCCGTGAATGCAACTGGTAGCGTATGGTTCAAATGTTTTGTTTCGGGTGTATTGTGCCTTTCATTTGACATAGACATTATTAGCATTACGCTTATGTAGTCTTCGTATTGTTAAATCGCAAACGAACTAACAATGTCGACTATTAAATGAGAAGGCGTATATTGCGTGGACGTGACGCCCTCCGACAGTAGTGGCCATGTACCACTGATGTGCCGGCTTCCCACAGCATCCATGCCGAACGCAAAACTTTGCAAACATAGTGCAGCGCAAAGGGCGAATGTACTGCACCCATGTGCCCGAACATGAACTAATGTGCTCCTCAATTTCCACAAAGTGCCACTTTGAGCCCCTTCCCGATTTTGCCCATATAAATGCAAGATGCACATGTATCAGTTTTTTGTGTTTCAAAAGTCAATGTCGAATATCAGAGGGGAGGTCAGGCTGTTCCTTCCAGAACCCAGTTTGGTCCCTCAGCCGTGATATGGCCCCACCAAATCCCAGAGTAGTGGTCACACTCATGAGTCCCAATGTCTTGAACGGGCAAACCACAATTTTGTGAGGATATTGTTGGAGCAGGGGCGACAACGGCCTTTTTTAGGTTTCTGTATGTGACCTGCTAGCACCATAATATTAGGATGTTCTCCCAAAATAGAATGAGCCCGACAGGGCTTCCTTCGTTTTGGACCTGAGCAACCTGCTTGCCGATTTGCCTAGCTGGTGGCTTGCTGGTTTTTTCGTTGACATTTTAGCGACGATTGATAAGTGGAATAACCCTGCGCCAAATTGTCGGGCGATATCTTAGGCTCCGCCTAAATAACAAGTTGGTAGTTCATACTAACGCGATCGGTGTCGGTGCTAACAATTAGCCATGCGCTCATTTCGTACGGAAGACTCAAGCGGTGCGTATTGTAATTACGTTAACCTTCTCCGACATGGATTAACAAAGACGCAAGATATACTCAATCTTGGGCTATGGGTTGAGTTCTTTGGGGCTTCGGCGATTCACCAGTAAATGACCTCATTTGGGGGGGGGGAAGGGGGGAAGGCCATCCTAAAAATCCTACCATGCGCTGTAATTTATGGCACTATCACGACCGATGTGGTTTTTAGTGAACCTGGAAGTTTTCAGTCGCTCCTAAAAATCATGTCTTTGAAGTATAGCGTTTCGTAAGTTACATTTTGTCGTGTTTGGGCTGAGCTAAGAACATTGTCACGCCTGCCAAACCCCAAAACATGACGTTCAGCACCGCACGTTATATCCGTCTTGGAAGACAGGTAAGGCGTTAGGCCTCCAAAAAACATCTTTGAGCGGAATGCGTAACAAGTTACGGCAGTGAAGCATATCTTTATAATGGTGTTTTAGTCCTTGTCCCGGCAGAAAACGACGCTGAGAAGTCGCAGTATTTGGGTTGTTTGAGATGTGTTACTTCGCCTCGGCTGACACCGCGGATGGCGAATATGCTCCGCTCCGTGTTACATCGTCGGACAAGCCGGCACATCTTAGCCGCAATTGCCCCAATCACCCGCATCATAACTCAGTAATCTGATAAGATTTTTACTCACAACGAACTTCCAAGATTGTCTCCCCAAAATTTCGCGATTTAAGATCGAATTTTTCGTGAGATATAGGTACGGTGCAGCCACTCGTTTAAGAGCATGGGAGAGCCTATGATCTGTGCTGTCATGTTCCTGCTCCGTAACCCCTGGTGAATATTTAAGGACAGACCATTGGCGTCATATGGAGAGGGGACGGGGACGGGTAAGGCATATAGGTCACCAGTCACGATGCCCAACGCGTATGTACAGTCCAGTCACTTTAAAAGCGCTGAGAGCAAGCAAGGCCTGTGAGTTCTGGTGCGCGGACCCTTCTGTAATGCGGCTCTCTATGGTTTGTGCATAGTTTAAAGCCTGGCACTATCCTCAGAGGCACGACACATATTGCCAAGTTGAGTTTTCCTCCGAAGTTGCTGGAGTGGAGGTCGCTGGTGGAAGCGTGCATGCGTCCGCCGCCGATATCACCGGACCGACTTTTTCGTACCAGCCTTGGCCATGTTTTATTTGGACGCGTCAGCACGCGATGCCCGGCGGCGGAGCCGGCGAGCCGTCCAACTGCTAGTGGCTACCCGAGCGGGAGTACATATCCGCCAAAGGGGAAAACAATCGAGACTACCGATGTCGACTGCATTTATGGTATTTTATTGTACTCGCGTTTCCGGCGGAATTGGGTCTCAACAATGGGCCTCGCTGACACAAGGTCATAGCGGCGAACTATTCGACCCGTAGGTCTCAGAGGTCAGTTGTTCCACGACATAAAACAGCCTGTGTCTACACGCACGCACGAAAACGACAAACCAGCATTGTTTCTCACAAGTGAAATCTCAGGCTTGAAGAACGTTAACCGTGGATGGCATCATCAATCACCTAGATCTGCTCTTCATTTGGCCTCTTGAAATCTTGCGATATCTTGCTGCTGCCGCGTGCAAACGCCCATGACGCATTTGCCAAGCGACCAAACACTTGATTCCCGGAAAGAAGCCTAGGCCGAGGAGACCGGTGACATGGGATCAGCGCGATTCGCTGCCACTTCCACTGCTCCCGTACGCGCACGTTTAGGTCCGCTGGCGACGTACGGTCAAAATCAGAGCACGGGTCGGCTAGATTAGGGTCATATGGGGCGAGATTTCCTGTCCTCGGCCGGTCATCTGACGACGACGTCGATGGATGAATGCTGGCAAGCGTGAGCCCAGTGCGGGCCGGGCTTCACTGCCGCTGATCGGCAAGCATGTCGTGTCGTACTGCGGATGCAATAGCTGATTGCGAGGAGGTGGGCCACGCACATTTTTCCAACATGTTCTTGAATTATATCAGCATTTGTGATTGAACACCCCTCCCGACAGGCGGTCACGGTTTTACAAGCTAATTAATGACATTTAAAGGTGCCTTGCGCTATTTTTATGTCATCTACATGTGCATCTATTTATCCGACACGGTTTTCGCACAAGGTTGCAACGTGACCAAAACTGGTCTTCCCCATTCGATTAATATGATAGGGGTTGAGTTTGCAAGCTGCAGAAAATTGACGCAACACCAGGACCCAGATCTGGATAACCCGTGGCGATATGCGTACAACACGGTTTGGGTGAGAAAGGAATGAGCAGTCGTGTTGGCAAAAATGTGCCTCACTGCGGGGCACGGAACTCTCGAACACGGAGCTGGTCACGGACGCTGGACAACACACCGTACATTCGCCGGTTTGTGTTTTTTTGTCAGGCCATGGCAACCGGAACGGGTAGATTTGAAATCATTTGCGCAGTGTAGTTGATTGCACGTTGTACAAATTA